TCCCGACGGCCGGGGAACGTTGATTCTTACACACCAAGGAAAAAATTCCTATATTCAAATCGTTTTAAACCATACGTTTTGTTCTTTTTTTCTTTCATGTTTTTTTATAATTCTTTTCAAATAATTTACTGGGTATGGTATTTATAATAATTATAGTGAGTTTATTTTTTTCACAATGTTAGTTCAAATCAATCGTAGGCAGAACTGGAAATTGTTTATCGGAGGGAAAGGTAGGAGACCACTTTATCAGGGGGGGGGGGGGGTTCTAGGGGGTACTATAAGACACCCCACTGAAAGGAATCTACTGGAATCATTTATCTTCAAATGATGGCTCAGGAGATTTACCTAGCTACATAGCGGAGTCCAAAAGGGCCTTTTCGGGGAAATTTTGAAAAATTGAGTCGTCTGCTCTCGCCAACAAATTGATCAAATTCCAATTTCAAAAGTGAAAAATATTCAATGTCCTTTTTCAGCAAAACCCTTGGCGCAGTTCTCGGAAAGTTCCAAGTGGATCTGTGAAAGCCAAGGCTCCCCCCCCCCTTAATTTTGCCTAAAACTCAATCTTTGAAAAAGCAAATAAAGAATTTCACCCATAACTGGACCGCGTTAAACAGAAAGGAACCAAACCATATCAGCTATTGCCAAATTTAATCGGGCAATTTAATTTTCTACATGAAAACGGTTGTGCGGATTTTCGTGCAAATTTCAGTGAAAATTCTCCATGGTACGAAGCAAATTCTTTAAAATTGTCAAAGAAATCCGAAAAAACGTTCTCTCTTAAAAAAATTTAACTGCCCAGTTAAACTTGGCAATAGCTGATGTGGCTTGGTTCCTTTCTGTTAAACTCGGTCCAACTAGCAATGCCCAGTAATGCACCGGTGGAATATACGCGAATTTTTTGCATTGAAGTGGCAACACTGCGCGATGTCGCGAGGGCGCGGGCGCGGGAGATGGCGAAACCCATAAAATGTCGTCCAAATAGCATTACACAAATGTTTGTATGTTTTCTATCAGAGAGATAACATTTACGCAGTGTCAGAACAAGAATTCCCACACGTTCGCCGCTGTGAAAATTGAATTAAATGCAAGGTTAAACACCTGTGTTCTGATTGATCGGAGCCGAAACAACATCCGATCGGCAGCCAAGTTTTCCGCTCTATCAGATGAAGACGTCTTCAAAAATGAGTTACCTTGTCGCATTTTAATTCCGGGCTGCAGTTTGATTTATTTGCAGTTGGGGGGATCGTTCAGGAGTAATATATATATAAAAGTAGTAGCTTACTATACTGAAAAAATAAAAAAACACATTGGATCTAGAGTCCAGAATCTTGAAAACATTGACAAGAAAAATGACCCTTGATTCAATCTGATTTAAGCTTAAATCTGATTGAATCAAGAGTATTTTTTCTTGTCGATGTTTTTAAGAGTCTGGACTCTAGATCCAATTTGTTTTTTTCCAGCGTACTGAGAGATCATAATCCACGGATAAAATTTCCAGTAGAGCGACTTTTGTTGAGTTGGTTGGAAGAATTGGAATTTGAAAATTCTAATCAGTTCCCCAGAGCCGAGAGGTACCTAACTCGCATTAATGCAAAAATCGGGTAAGTGGCACTTTGAAAATCTCAAATAACTATTCCGTGTTCATGAAAAAATTTATAGCCCTATCTTGCGCCGCGTTTTTAGTTTTTAGATACAAAATTTCAAAAATTGCGATTTACGTTGGAATCAGTGGGGCTGACGCACAGTTTTCCCTTAATATCTTGAAAATAATAAAAAAATGGAGGTAGGTATCGTATGATCTGGGGAACTGGTATGTACTTATGTCTGAAAGCATAAGTTTCGAGCATTAGTTCCGCAATTTTAATTAATTTTTTAGCACATGGGCAAGTAAAATTTCATCCGGCAAATTCATTTCTGGTAAAGGTTATTTAAGAATTTCCATCGATTAAGGATAGAAATGTCGAGCGATACCTCGAACGCCTTCATCACCATTCGACACTCAAGGCTGAACTTCGGATATTTGTGCTTCTATTCTAACGGCACCTTACAAAAAAATCTGGAGCTAGATAAAATTCAAAGAAAGCGCAAACTTCTTTCTTTTTTCTCCTTGGTGGAGCAAGATTTTCTCCGCTGGAAATCGCATGGCGAGTGCGACTTAATTGACGCAAATTATTTAAGCGATGAATGGACTCAGATGAGGCGAAAGAAGTGCCCTGCAGGTTTTTAAACCTCTGCAAAACGGCAATCTGGGCGTTGTAAAGAGTTATATAGCCCCAAGTCACGAAGATATTACTTTCACCCCAAGTGCCTATCTTTCATCCCTCTTCAAGTACTCGGAAACCCTCATAAACCCATAATTGTGCTCCACTTTTAAAGACAAGGGTAGACTGGTATAAGAGAGAAAGATTGACCGTCGAGATAAAGTTTAATCGGACTATTTTTTGTTTAATTTTGTTTTCTTGTTTTCAATGGAAACAACAGCTTATATTCTCGTCGGTCAGGTATTTTCCTTTAATAAATACTACACAAGTTAGTCAATCCTAATTGGACGTCGGTTTTTCTCGGTAATACCAAATCCCCAACCAGCAAATCCTCCTAGCATACCGCTGACGTAACTTTTTTGATGACTTTTTTACAGCCAACCGGAAAAATCCCTCCTACCTGCTATGGTGACTTTTTTAACCTGGCTGGAAAACTTTGTACCGCTGAGGTGATTTTACCGGATGACTTTGGAAATCGGCACTTGAAAACTAATGAAAAAATAATTGGTGAAACTTTACTCGTATGCCTGAAATGTTTCATTTCTGTTTCAGCCATGAATTTTTGAGCCAAGTTAATGAGCAAACGCCATCCCATGGCAATTTTTTTGTATTATCTGGAGGAATCGAGTAAACACGTAAATATTGAACCCGCACTGGAAAAAAAAAACATTTTGGATCTAGAGTCCAGACTCTTGAAAACATTGACAAGAAAAAGAACTCTTGATTCAATCAGATTTAAGCTTAAATCAAAAGGAAATCCGCTCAAATCAAGTGGCTCGGTTCTTGCTTTAAGCTTAAATCTGATTGAATCAAGAGTATTTTTTCTTGTCGATGTTTTTAAGGGTCTGGACTCTAGATCCAATGTGTTTTTTTTTTTTTTTTTTTTTTTTTCCAGTGCGCATATAACCGCGTTCATTCGTAATAAACATTCTATTAGTGAACTACTATCAACAATACACAGTTGCGCACTCATTCTGACCAGCTCGCCTTCAATACTGAGGTAGGCAATGTGTGCGGCTCAGGAGCAGTAATAGTTGCTTGCAGTAATGTGGCCACCTTCATCTATCTTCAAATGAAACATCATGATGATGTCATGTATCGGTGAAAGGAGGAGTTCGTTCTGAAGGTGCCCATGAATAACCACATCAGTTATCTATTTTTAGTAAGCTTTTAGTGTTTGAAATTTAATATAGAATATTTACTAGTTTTAAATTGTTACAGTATAACTTTTTACAAATTTCTAGGGAGATGTTCTGGTTTGCGATGTAGCAGAGACAAATGATGTTTCATTTGAGGGTATGAAATCGACAAATAACGCTTCACTTGACAGCACGGTATACCGATGAATAACTACTTCGTTTATTTATTCATGAAGAGTCATACTGAATTGAAACATTTCTTTAGGCTTAACTATCTATCGCAAGGAAATTATAATGCTTTATAAGTTTGCCCTAGCGCAAAAATCGGAGGATCGACATCATTCAAGGATAGAAGAGATCCATGGAGCTGACAGCGTTGTTGACCGTGGACACAATGTTCAGTTTAAACGTTTATTAAGTGTTTCAATGAAAATTATGGTTTTAAACTTTGACCCAAGGCTCATAAGGTCATAAAAAATCGATACCAAAATACCTATAATTTCTACATGGGCCGCAAATTTCATTGTTCTCGCAAATTTAAACTTTCGCGCATGCAAAACTAGGAAGGAAGCCGGGGCGGGGATGCCCAGCTTCTTTGGCCAACCTCGGAGAATCCAGGCCAATTTTCAGAATGATTTCTAGACACCTGTGTTACCTTTAAGTCACATTTTACCAAATCGGTGAGAAAAGCGAGATGCACTGAAAAAAAAATTCTCGGCATTTTTACGAAGGTCCGTTGGTACCTTTACCATCTCACTTGTTTTACCAATTATTGGTAATTTTACCAAGACGGACTGGTAAGCTTACCTAAAAACCGGTATTTTTACTCTTTTTTCCAGGTAAGAATACCACTTTTATTGGTAATCAATTCCCAGTAACTTTGCCATTTTATCTCGGTAATTCTACCACAGTCGATAAAAAATATCGGCATTTTTACCAAGGTCCAGTAAAATTACCGAAGAAGTTCGATAATTTTACCGAGATTTCTCAGTGAAATTACCAATTCCATAAATGGTAATTTTACCAAGAAAAAACTGGGATCAAATAGAACCCTGAATTCTTGGTAATTTTATCCTTTTCTTAGTAAATACACCGAGATTTTTTTTTCAGTGTGTCTCAATTTGAAATAAGTCTTCAAGTAGATCCCCTTGACCACCGTAAAGCTTGAGTAATGGTCCCAGTGTCCTTATATTGAGGCGCTTTTCAATGTCCCCGTTGAACAAGATCCGTGCCCTCCCCCTCTCCCCCTAGGGAGAAATCCTGGTTCCGCCTTTACTCTCTTCTCTTCCCTGGGTGTTCCCTCTTTCTCTCTCACCCTGTTCGATTAGGAGCATGGATGAATACTATTGTTATTTTATATTGTTTTTTTCTTTTCAATTTACAGGTTTATTTGCTTTCATCCAGGAGAACCATAAAAACAAAAACAAATAGTCAGTAATAAAATAATATACTCCGTTATACATCGATGGAGGCTTCTGATTGGTCAAAGGTGCGCTCAGAAAAATTGGAAGTGAGTAGCAAAGAAAACGTAGAGAGTGAAGAGCAAGAGTACTTTCTATGGCAGAGATTCGTGTGCTGCAAACAATAAGTAGTTTATTACCTCATTCGGATGGATGTATTCCTCAGGAAGGTGCCCGCTGGGTCCAGGGTCCTCCCCTTCGTGATAAAGGGCTCCCGTATGGAGGTGAGTGTGGTGGTGCCAATGATCCCCGTCCATAATTTTACACCTTCATAAATTTGCCATTCAGTTCAGTCGTGCAGTAACGTCTTCATAACACAATTCCATCACGAGTATACAAGTTGGCGATCATTGAAATATCGCTTAAAGCGATTAAGAGACAGATTTTCGCAGTTTTTTATGTTTTCCGGGAATTCCCGACACACACTTTCCCGTCGACAAATATCCGTCTGCGATATCCAATTTCACAAAAATTGAGACGAAAACGAGAAATGAAAATGGAAATAGAATAAGAAAATCGAACGCCATCGGTTTCTGTCATTCATTTCTGCAAGAACGGTTCGAGTTCTCTTGTGTTATAATCACTATAAATCAAACTTCCGCTCGACTTTCAAGTGTAAAACATTCCAAAGCTCAAATAAAACTCTGAAGCACTTAGGAGTTGAACTTTTGAGCACGTTTGAGCAAAGCGTTTCCAATCACTATATCACTTCACATCTTTGAAATTTTCCTTGGAAGCTCCTTCAATTGATAGAAAGTTTGTTTCTGCGCTCATTTTTAGGACGCACTCACATCACTCCGATGTGTCGAAAAAGGCAACTTAAAGAAGCCTATTTTGAAAACGGATACAGAATATTCAAATTCTTGTCGTTATTTTAAATTAACACATATTAGTAAATGATCCAAAAAAACTTGCCCTTGGCATTATGAGTAAAATCCCTTCAAATAAGACAAAATTAGCTAAAAATTGCGAATTAAGCACTTAAAAAATTGCACACTGATTTAGGTAATGATGCGCGGTTGTAATCCCGGATAGAATGAGAAAACACGTTGTGATAACAGCACTCGTGGCATATTAGCAATGAACTAAGAAAAAATGGGCTTTTTTTCGGAGGTAGATCAAACGTGATAAATTTTAGGTGAGATAATTTAGACTATTCATAGTCTACGTTCAATCCCCGTGCGACTCGCGAAGTGACACGAACAACGAAGGAAAGAGAAAACGAGGAAAGGGAACGTGTTTTGAGGGAGAGAGAGTGGATGAAAACCGATGGGAGAGAAAGAAGAAAAATTTGCGGATGTGGGTGGACAATATGCTCGAGTTTGCGGGGGAGAGGAGTTCGTGAGGGAGTAGCGGTCAAAAAGGATTAAAAAATTGGAGCAAATATCAAAAGTGTGGGCATATTGCTCTCTTAACGTTGCCAAACATGATGTTCTTTATTAGTCTTATCTATTTACACAGAGGCCATGCAAATTCGTGAGAAATGTGACACCCTGTATGGTGAATTTATAAAATTTGAGGGTGTATCCTGAATGAATTGACACCAAAATTGGCAATCCAGCTTGGTTGAGGTTCGTCCTCCTGCAGAGAGAAAGAAGCGAATTCCAATATGATTATTTAAAAAATGAAAATAAATTTTCCGCTATTATTCCCTTAGTTGCAAAAGGTGAATTTTAAAATTTCTGCAACATAAAATCATTTGTTCAAAGAACAATTATCGATGACTATATTTAAACTAAAGCGATTAAACAATTGGGACGTTGCAAATTTCTGCCTGTATGATGATAATATCGGTATAATCTGCTGACAATTTTGACTTAAGAGAAAAGCAATAATGTAAAATATATCCTCGACAGAATTTCAAATTGAATTAAAAAGAAAAGTCATCTTCATCTTTGAGGAGGATCATAAATGTCAAAACCAATCAAGAAGAATTGTGATAACTTGGCAACAAAGGTTGGCGCGAGAGTTTAAAATCAATTCGCATGGTCTATTTATAAATTTATTTAATTCAAAAATATCACAATTTTCAACACCGAGCAGCCATAAAGCATCCGAAAATAACGCGACAATGTTTCTGGTTTTAGTTTCTTCTTTTCTTCGGGCTTGTGTGCGAAGATCTCCTGCCAGCGTTCCTCTTGAGGGATGATTTATCTTTAGACACGTTGAAAAATACTTATTATTTTTCACGTTTTCATGTGTAAAAAAAAAAATGAAAAATAAATTTTCTAAAAGAAGGCGGAAGCTAGCGTTACCAGTTTCTATTAAGTTTCTCCCGTTAAACAGAAAGATAAAATGTTGATAAAATGAAACAGAAAAATTAAAACAGCCACTGCCTTATTTTTACATTAATGTTGTATTGACAATTATTATCTACTCGCATTTTAGGCACGTCTGTTTGGTGGCAAGTTAAAATCCTGAGCCATTAGTCTATTTTCTACAAAGCAATTCACTTCAAAAATTATTAATACTGAGCTTATTTTCTCAGAGTTTAAACATTTTAAATTAGCACTTAAATCAGCTATTCCCTTCGAAAATTGCAGTCATAAATCGTGAAAATGTCTCATTGCAAACAACATATTTGACTGTTCTTGCTATTCCACGTTTGCGCATCAGTTTTGTAGAATTAATGAAAAAAGTTGTAATTACACAAAAATCATCTCTTTTTCACAAGCTCCATGATTACTATATGTATAAATCTTCATTTATCTTAATTAAAACAAACTATAGAATAAAGCAAGGAACCACGTTGAATGAAATAGCATTAAATTAAGCGTTTACACACACTGTCATTTAACTTTAAGCGCACTCTCTGTGTTTGCGCCGAACGTAGGAACTCAAGGGAGCACTTTCAGGATGAAAGTATGTAGAGCAAAATTTTTAGCGGAAAGCTTCAAAAGGCATCTCAAGTTCATGCTTTTCAGAAAAATCTGCCGAATTCTCTATATTTATCAATTTTAACGATTAAGAATGAATAAAAATGGTGTCCGTGAGACATTCGATTTCCGATTCTTTTTGTACGTTTAATCTGTCCTTCTAAGGGAAAGCAAGTACAGTGCGGATGAAGAATCGGTTTTCAAAAAAAATTGGCTCCACTCTTATAGCCTTAATTGATTGCATGCCATCTGGTGGACTTGTCTTGAGTTTATCTTCGTATTTCAAATATTTATTCTTCAATTTAAGTTCCTAATTCCTGTGATTCGCCGTTCCGAAGACTTATGAATTTAACTAAATTCCGCCGTTGCAAAATTCACTTAAGTAATACAATGTTTTCAAAAAATTTACTGTGCGATTTTTGTCCAAAATTTTGCCGATCTTTTGCGCGGAATCAGCGGCAACATCGGTAAAATTTTCAGTTAGAAATGTCTAACAGTCTGACAGTAATAATATAAGTTTGCGAGCAGGACTTTTGCAATGTCGGGATGTAATTACATTTTTTCGTTTGGGCAACGACAAGCTGCCGTCCTTAGCGAAAACGCCGTAACTCAACCCTATATTATTTTTTTCTTTCAGTTTTTTTCTGACAAAATTTTGTATCACCGAAAAAGAAAGAGCAACTATCCCTCCAAGTCTTGAAATGATTGTCACATATCATGGAAAAATCTTTACAAAATGAAGCATCATATAGCGATCAGGTTTTCTCGTAATAGAACAGTGAGTTTTTTCCGTGGACAGCAAAATATTTTTCCTCCAAACGTGTGAAGTAAGAATTGAGTACAAAACAACTCACGGTAAAAGTCTATTTTTTTTTTTTTTTTTTTTTTTTTTTTTTTTTTTTTTTTTTTTTTTTTTTTTTTTTTTTTAAGTACTATGTTCTCTCTTTACACAGGGCAGTATTCACACAGTAAACACCCTTTATACTCAGCTTTTATTGGCCTGAGGGCTCAGAGCCGTCACCTCGGTGGGATTAGCAAAACGTTGATTATAGATTTTGGATTAGACTCCGGATTAGACAATGACTCGGTGTCAAATTACGAACGAGAATGTAGGTTGAATTTTTACATAGCGTTAAATGTATACAGTCCCCATTACTGTCACTATATCCTTTCTTCTAGTCTAATGTCAGCACTTTACTTTTTCCATCCTAACAGCCGTGCTGCCGTGGTGAGGAAAAACGTCGTATGAACATTCGAGAGTTGCCAAATTGCCTCCGATAAAATGTTAATTTTTGAGTAGCGTTATGAATGTTTTTACTTTAAATTTTCGGACACTGAAGATTGGATTGCGAATTAAATTCTGTGAGAGACTGGGAGGAAAATATCCAAAAGTTTTCTAGAAAATTCGCGTAACTGCGGTAACTGTTTTTCAGTTCATTTTCATCGACTTTTGTGCTTGTTGTATTTCATGAAATCAAACAATGGACAACTCTACTGGAAGAGAATTAAATTACCACAAGACTTGTTTTTTCATCACTATTGCGTGCAGAACATAGGAAATACTGACAATTTCCAAAATCAACCGATAAGTAAAAAATTAGCGTTTATTGTTTATAATAGAATCAGAAAATTAAACTTCCCGCCTCAAAAAATATCAACGTCAATTTTTAAACAAAACTTAAATACGCTTTTTCCATCTGTGATAAAAATTTCAGTTTTATACTGAACTTTAAAGCACGTTGGCGAAATCACCAACTCTCTTGTCAGGATCAGGATTAATCAAATCGCTCGAAAAAAATGAAATTGCTGATTATACAATTTTGTAGTTGAAAAAAGTGTCCTACATGTTCCCATGTAGATTTTACAATGAAAACATGCTAATTTAACCACGAGCTTTCAATTACTGTAAAATGTACATTTGAAACATGTCGGACATATTTTTTAACAATTTCATTGTTAATCAGCAATCCATTTTTTTCGGTGCGGCCGCTGATAACAAACCTGTTTTGCGACAGATTGATGAAATTACATTCCCTAACAGTTTCCTTTCCGTTCTGACGCAAGATACTTCTGAAATCATTTAAAAAAACAGTCAATACACCAAAGAGTGTTAATTTATCGCAACAAGCACTGAAATTAATTGATGCCCGATTTGTCTCAAGTACATTAGGAAGTGCTTCTCTCAAACGGAACTATGTGCATTAAGACATGAGACATATGATAAAACATGTATTGTGATGTATACTCTCTTCCTGTGTCCAGAGACCCGTACTTCAAAATAATTTGCCTCCTCTTATGCAGTGCATAGTGGAAATGGCCATAAGTTACGCAAAAGAAAAGATTTCTCTTTTTCTTGAAATATTCGGGCAAGTGATGTTCCTAAAGCCCTCCCGTTTGATATCAAATCAGTTTTTCTGGTTTAATTTTGGATTTGTATCTTTCTAAATACATAAGTAAACACTCCACGAACATTATAAACTGGTAAAAAAAAACCTCTTGGTTCAAGAGTGAAGTTTCTTGTCGCCGGATTTAAGAGTCTGGACTCTTGTTTCAAGCGGATTTTGAATTGAATCAATGCAAAATCCGCTTGAAACAAGAGTTCAAGACTCTTAAATCCGGCGACAAGAAACTGAACTCTTAAGTCAATGCACCGCGGCATTGGTCCAAGAGGTTTTTTTTACCAGTGTTAAGTTAAACCATGGAAAATGAAGAGACCCGAACCTTTAATTATCGCTTAATAATATTACTTAATTTGCATCAATCAATATATTAGTTATAATAATTTATGGTTTGTGTGATTTTCCGAAAATTTCTCCCATTTAAACACACTAAAGCTTCAACGAAAATCAAATTTCTTGTGTACGAAACTAAAAAGACGAATTTCAAAAATTCATTTGTCCTGAGTTTCGTTGGGTTCCAAAGTATTTTTCCAGGCATGGAAACTAATTTTCTTTACCTTCACAGTAAAAAGTTAAAGCTGGTGAATGAAAATAGGAAGTAAATTTTTATACCCTGAAAAACCGGAATGAAGTGTATTTTTAGAAAATAATTTAGGATCAAGGAAAGTTATAATCGATTTATCAGTATACGCAGACTTTTATCCAGCTTCATTAGAACAGGAATATAGAAACTAATCCTTAATAACTTAGCATGTAGCTCAAGTTTAAGATGATAAATCATGAACGAAACAGGAAGCGTCGGTATTCATCCTCATGGCAGAGTCAAAACAG